TCCACCCGACGCGGCCGCCCTGCAGGCCTCGGTTCCTTGAAGCATAGCCGCCCTGACCATCCCTCCCCCCCCTCTGCCCACCTTTCCGACAACCTAGCGATTCGACTCCTGTATTGCTAAGCTGTGGTCTTACGTAGACGTAGTTATTGTAACTAAACTGTTCGCTCCCCTCCCCTGTAGCACTTTCCCTGTTCTACTAAGATCTGATCCCCTTGATTTCCCCCCCCCGTCCTTTTCTGGCCCCACCCCGCTCTCCTCGGCACTCGCCCGCTAATTCCCTCCTCCCATTTCAATCCACCCCCCCCCCCCCTCGCCCCCGGAGGTATCGCCTTCAAACCGTCAGAGTCCTCATCAATAGGTTGCAACTTTTCATACGGAGCGCCTTCCAGCTCCTTGCATTGTCTCTCCCAGGCTAGCCCGCGTTCACTCACCATCGTCGCCCAAAAACCATAAAAAGTCCTTTCTGCCCCATCACACCTCGCCATTCCTCCTCCAATCTATCACTCCTCGGCGGACAACGATCTCATACTCATTTTGATGCACTAGGTTAGCTTCTCATCCGTACATCGAGATGGATTTCATTCAAGAATACTCGCCCGCAGTTTGTGATCTGCAATGGAAACCGGGGAGGATTGAAGCCACGCTTCGCGCATTGGAAGACGAACACCAACGGTTTCGACGCCAACAACGCAAGTCCTTCCGTCTCATGGACCGCTGATCGAACTGCGATTGATCATCTGGGAGCACGCATTGCCTGATCGACGCGTCCTTCGCATGTCTGAAATTTTCCTCAAAACAAGCTACAACCCAGGCAAAACCTTCTTTTGCTCTACCCGCCCGCCAGTACTTTTCCACGTGTGCAGGGAATCTCGCCAGCTTGCTCTCGTAGGTTTCAAGCCTTTCTTCGAGGAGGACTCCAATGGCATGATAACCAGACCCGTAAACTTCCGCCCCAAGTTCGACGTTATATATCTTGAGCACATGGAGGAACTTAGCGCAACCGCTTCAAAACACCCGGAAGTCAACGAAATCGAGTCGATCGCTATCCCAAACCACGCCTCCGGTGTCAAACTATGGAGTAATAGTATCAGCTGACCACTTGAGCCTTGCCTTCAGGCCTTGACGAGACTTCTCCTGGTTAGGATCCTGGAACAATCATGACAAAAGTGATTATACTAGAACTAGGATAGATATTCCAGAATCCGGGCCAGACCATGCTAGTCCCCTTCTACGGTCCCTGCTTCCTCCCGGTCGACCCAGCCCTCCGTGTAACTTCCTCCGAAATCAATTAGCCACGCATTGTCTTCGGTATCGATCAAGACGTTGTGAGGCTTCACGTCCCCCCAGACAAGGCCAGCTTTGTGCAGCTCAGCCAGCGAGTCCTTGACCTGTGCTGCCCACTGTTTTCTCAGTGAAGACGGAGCGGATGTCCTTGCCCGATGAAGAGGAAGCCGCTCGTCAACAAACGTCAGACGCATCCCCAGCAACCGGTCTCCGTCGCCAACAACGCCGTGCAGGCGGCAAACACGGGCTTTCGGGCCTAGATTCACCATCTCAATCTGTTTAAAGGCTTCTAGCTCTCGGCTGACCTCTTCGCGGCTACCCCCAACACAAAACGGCTTAAAAAAGTAGGTATCCTTTCCGTCATTGACATGAACTCGACGTGGCGACCTGATAAGCCAGGATGTCGTCTATTTGAAAGTGCATGATAACCAGGTCACCGTCACCGTGGGTGAGCGGACCAGGAATTTGGTCTTGATCGGCGATGGTTTGCCGTCCGCACTATCTATGATTCTGAGAGAGGTACGTATAGTCCCTTCACTCCTTCGTTCTTTACCTCCAAGCTGGTGGGCTGACATTAGCGAGTAGGCTTGTACCTGCTGCTTGGTGACCGTAGTACCCTTTCATGACCAGCATGTCTCCTGGCCTGGCGGCGCCTGCCACGTGATGACAAGTCCCCAGAACTCCAATATCCTTGTGAACTTTTTTACTCCCTTTCGAGCTTAACGCCACTACAAAGCTGGAGCCCGACTTGACTGTTGTCAAGCCAAGGGTGCGCCAGCACCTCGTCGTCGGTCAGACCGTCAACCAGCGTCTCAGCTTTTCATGGGACTAGACTTGTACTCTCGAGGATAATAGACCCCCGAGGTCCTGTGGACTCTTTTGGTTCGCTCATTTCGGGGTTTTTTTGGCGCTTGCTTCCGTGCCGTCCTGCTGCGTGTGGAGGATACACTAGAGGTGCTCGATCCCAGGAGTGACCCATCTCGTGTTTTCCCGTCAGCCGCGACGGCACGGCCGTTCTGACGGGCCACTAAAACAGACTGCAGATGTAGCTACTTCATGTTACTGGATAGCCCTAGATCCAATAGCCCTATGTAGGATAGAGTCGACGCTTCTAGTAGCGTTGGTGGTAGAGTTTTCGAGTAGTAGAGGGCTGAGGAGGGGCTAGGTTATCGATACCGGCCAAAGACCTGTTGATTTCCACCTACTGCGTATATTCTAGGCCGTAAAAGCTGCCTGGCGAGCCCTCCTATAGCAGCTAAGGAAATTCCTTTTCCCTACTACTGTAGAATCGTTCTACTGCTTAAGGTATCCTAGCTGTTTCCTATAGGATGCCTCAAGGGGACCGAAAACGGACTGGTCGAGTAGCTGTAGGACGTGTGACGTATGGGGAGGTAGGAAAACCAGGTAGATATTGTTAGTATAGTAGAGATACATGAATTCTGTTGTCTTATGGCTACCGTGGCCGTCTAGGATAAGTAGCCTAGCTGTTGAGGGGTCGGTTGGTTGGGTGGATGGAATGAAGATCTCCTTAAGCTAGAAGATAGCCGTGTCGTTGTCTGTCTATCCGTTTTCGGTTGTAGTAAACTTCTATCTACTATAGGGCTGTAGATCTAGTGGAAACCACTGCTGTTGGACTGATTTTCCCTTAAAAATGACTAAGGGAGGTACTGTAGTGCCTGTCGCGCTGATACACTCGAGGATAGACGTCTAGGCCCTAGATCCTGGCTGTTTTTTCCGTAGATTCTGGGCTTCTGCAGAGCCTAGAACTAGGCCGTTCGATCCTCGGCCTTCTAGGATACCAGTCTCATCTATATTATATCGGTTAACTGGTTGGATCGCCTTAATCTCTGGAATAGATAGGTATCTAAACCAGTCCCTGATTACGTTAGTTGTCGCGCCGTTGATACGCTGGGAATCGATAGGCCTAGCTCTCTGGGCCTTTACCGATGGGTTTCTGCGTGTAAAGGCTTGGAACCAGTTCTTTCCGATCGTCTGTGGTCCCCCTTGTAGGTGTAGGATTCGTTCTGCAAATTCCCTGACTTGCGCGTGCGTAGGTGGAAGCCCTAGGGCAGCCTGGATCCGTATCCATTCTACTAGGTGCTTTTCCTGCGTCGGGGATAGCTTCTGACGGGTTGTAGAAGTAATACTCTTCAGTTGGATTCCTTGTAAACGGTCTTAAATGGTAGACCTCGGAATACCCCACTTGATGGAAGCCTTCCGGATAGATTGGCCATTTGTGACGTCCTCTAAGGCTTGATTAATCTCATCTTCCGTATAGGGAGACATCGTAGACTAAGGTAGTCGGAGTAAAAATCTGGAAGGAATTGTAGGAGATTTGGTTGAGATATCGTGGGTTGAAAGGAGGGGGTTGAAAGTGCGGTGAGGGATTTTTGGGTGGCCGGTTGAGGGGGTGGCCGGGTGAGGGGTGAGTAACGTTAGTTTCCAGAGGGAGCCGAAAAAGTGTGCTCTGGGTTATTTTTTTGGCCAAGCTGCTCTCCTTTCGTCGTCGTTTCTTAGTCGAGAGATACTGTTCACTTAGCTACATTAAATATATCAAGACAAGACATACAGCTTCTTTCTGTCACAATGTTGGTGATCGAATCTCGGCTTGAAGGTGGGCTTAGGGGCACAGGAATATCATCGTACGATGCATAGATGATGGTGCAATATTTGTAAGATCAACGCGGGCAATTGAGGCCGCTACCTAGCGAGACCTGTGGAGCGCCTGAAACCTTTCACGCAAGTTCTTGTTCGCTATATTCTTCTCTCTTCTTGAACCATACAACACAGACGAAATGAGTTCCCGTGATTGTTGCGTTTCTCTCAGACATGAGCCTCTCTCGTCTCCTTCCTCCATAACAACAATAGTCGTCGTCCCACACATCCAAAGCCAAGTCTCGTCCTTCACGCGATACGCACAGCCAGGCTCTGTCAAACGTCCTTGCCCTTTGATGAGAACTGTGCCGCGGAGCAAGAATATCAAACAATCACGGTAGCATGGCTTGCTGTCCCCCACAGGCGAGCCTATGGACATTGTGCTGAGGTGATGAAACTTGTACGCTGGCTCCGGCCTGTTGAACTGGGGTTTAACGGAGGTCAGCCATTGTCTCGCAGGTCTACCATGGAGTGATACCTCTCTTTTAACAGCTTCAAGCACTTGTTCCATGTTGCCAGGGTCGAGCGCGTCCCAGAATTCTTTGCCTCAAGAGGGTTTGATTTTTTGGATGGCAGGCATTGCTTATAGACTCCAGATGGCCACAATACTGTTAATGTTGACGAATGTTTGATGAGTGAGTCTTGTGGACGAGGTTGGGAGACCTCAAAGAAGGTTGAGTTTACATCAACAGGGCGGGGTAAGACATCCCCTACAAATGAGTGGTGGCTAAGGAGTTGAGATTGGTCAGTTGTCCGAGCGTTACTAAGGCAGGCCTATTGACGACGTCCGGATTCCCTCCGCCAGTCCCCTCAGCGTCTGTGCTGTCGCACAGCCTTAACCTGGGATGTTATCGTGGTCATGGAGATTCCCATCCAGGTCAGCTGTCCTTTGTTGCCGGCGTTGAAGGTCGAATTGATCCCCTTGCGCGGAGGAGTGCATCCTCATCCAGTGCTGCGTACGCTGTTGCTGCATACACTCTTGCGCATGGGTTGCAATCATCCACACCTCCGTGCAAATATCATGGCAAGCAAAAACAGCCGAGGCCATCTATGTTGTCAGCTCTGTTCTTCAATCGACCGAGTCCACTTACCGATGATATGCTGAGGAGTGGACGGACATTCCATGTCTGAGCTCGAGTTCCAGCCACTGCGGAAGCCACGATTGTGCCTAGAGTCGCTATCATTTGGATGGAAACATGACCGAGTATCTGCCTGATTCTTGGTATGTCCCTCAACTTGTTACCTCCTTGTCGACCTCTGGGGCCCTTCTTCTCCCATATAAATTGGGCCCACTCCCAGACCATGCTGACGCGAAACAAGCTCGTACCAACGGCAAGCATGCTGGCGGCCGGGGCGGCCGCATATTCTTCAAGCCGTTGCCGCGCTTCCTCCTCGAGCCGCCCTTCTGGGGGAGAACCTGCGATGCTCGCAGCGCCGGGTCCACTTGTGGACCAGCAACCGTTTGCCTATGGGGACTGTCGGGAGCACGCCATCGGCTTCTGCTCTCGTCAAGGGGAACTACCTCCTGCCCGAAGAGGTGCACGGGTAAGCGTGGAGAACGGTCGGCAAGGATGTGCTGAACACAACGCATATTTATTCCTCGATCGTTCCGCGTTTCCAATACGGAGAGCTCCGCCTCAGCCGGCTCAACAAGATACATTATCTCTGGAGGACCCCGTTTCGCGGCTACATGGCTCACTGGAACCAGTACGGCTCGTTCTTTGGCGACAACTTTGCCTGGCTGCCAAGCTCGACAGTCTACGTCGCCATAGTCCTGACGGCGATGCAGGCCGGCCTCGCGACGGAGCTCCAAGAGAATACAGCCCTCCAGTCGGCCTTGAACGGCGTCACTTTTCCATCCTGGGGCACTCGTCGCCGCAGGCTTCGTAATGGTCGTGTTCTACTCTATGTTTATCAGCAACTAGGTCGCTACGAGGTGCTACATAAAGGAGAGATGGGGAAAGGACAGGTATGTATACTGCTCTTTGAATGTTACCCGCTCTTCCATTCGGGCGACATATTGACTAGACATGAAGTTCAAATCTCAGGCGTGCGGGCGACGGCTATCCGCGGCAAGTCACCAGGACAATGCCAAGTACTCTCATGACTTCCTAGGACGTCGGCCTTCGCCTCTCCAAGACAACGGAGCTCTCATGGACGCTCGCGGGCCACGTCTTGCTACCCTCTTCCCGCCTTGCCCGCTTCATCGTTCGATCAGGCGTGCAGCAGTCGCTGGAAGCCTCAACGCGAGAAGTGAGCAGCGAAGGAGTCTCGCCGATCTGATCCTGTCAACTCGGCGAGACGCACAACATGCGTACCCCACCAGACATCACGGTGCAAATGGCCGAAATTGACCAAGGACGAATGTGGCCGTCGCCTGCTTCGACTTTGCCCCACGAAGCATATATTTATAATCCGCCGTACTGACCCTCTTGCTCTGGGTAGATGAGCATCGTCAGCATGCAGGGGGGTGGAAGGTGGAACAACGCTCAGGGGTCGGGATAGAGGGCTGCCGCTTCAACGCGTAGGTCTAGGGTAGAGTCCAACAGGCTACATCATGTACAAGGAGAGTTCGATGTATGAGGTCTTGCACCAGATCTTAATGAACCTACCCAGCGTTGATGCCACAGAGATGCTTCATCGACTGCGATCAGGGGCCGATGTTGAATCCGTTGTCACGCAGGTGAGGGATGGGGATATCCTAGCAAGTTCTTGGGGGGCTCGGAGCTCTACCTCTCTTCCACCTCTCAAGCATCGAAGTGAACGGCGATACTCGGACCCAGGACCCACAGCCTCTGGACCGTAAAGGAGTACGATATCTGATAACGCATGATGCGGTTTGTTCGGTTTTCTCGGTGTTATATCTGTTGCAATGCGCAATGACAAACGAGGTAGGAACAAACGGTAGTCACAGCAAGACCACGTTAGATAAGACAGAGGCTTAAAATCATTACTTCCTTCAAAGATGTAAAGAAATTATTGCCCAGCCAGGGTCCCTGACGTTAGCTGTCAAAGCTACTAGCCGTAACAGTCCTCGAGACTCGCCAGTTTCCTAGCTCGCTTTGTGGTCAAGAGCATTCTACACTAGAACTCATGACTGAGGGTTTTGCCACGTAGAACGAGTCTTAGGTGCGATGGCTACAAGGTAGAGACGCCGGTACAGGAACTAATCTGGATGTGCAAGTGATCAGGGTGAGATTTGGCCGACTGCAGGCCCTGGGAGAACCTGACCAACGGACGGACTGGTTCTCAGCGCTCTAGTCAGCATTACGGCGCTGCCGTGTTTGAGGGGAAGGAAGGCTGGTGAGTTACCTTTATTTGTCTAGGTGTTCGAATTCAAGGTCAACGTAATGGGACAGGAAATGGGACCTGATGCCTTAAGAGATTTTATGTAACGACCCGGAACGATGGCCCTAGATAAGCCACAAACGTGGACAATTTGATCATGTTGCACAACGTGGTGCTGCATCGCCCGAAGCATATTCACCGACCCTGCGAACTGCAGAGTACGGGTATATCAAGAAGGCAACGGAGATCTACATAGTTTAACGTTAAAGCCCATTCCAAAGAGACGACTCAATTCACGTAAGAGAAGAGGTACATGGCACTTCCGAACAACCTTGCATTCGGTCATATACCGTAACTTGCTATGCCTAGCTAGCTAGATATCTACTTCGCTCTGATAAGTCAAATACCCTTTCAAAGTGTAGTGCGTTAGATGAGGAACGGCAAGAAACCCCCAAGTAGCCCCAGAGCGCACCCGCAGCAGAGACAGCCGACAGAAAACCCAAAGACGTCCCCTTGCTCTAGCCTAATCCATGATGGCAGTGCGGACCGCATCGCCATTTGAAACCCGACTGCCAGCATGAAGGGAAGACAGCAAGCATACCAATCCAAAAAGAAGACAAAGCCCGCTCTGTAGAAACCGAAATGGCATGATGATATTCATCAGACTTGAATACCAACATTTGAGAACAGAGACAAACACTGCGAACGCACAAATGATTGAGACGACTCCAGCAATGAGACAGTTTCTGATATGAGGCGCGGTGATGACAGAAAGGGTCGAGTCGTTCAGAGATGTTCCATCACCGAGCGCCTTTTTTAACGCTTCCTGTGCTTCTGGCGGAATCACGTCCGAGAGACGGAGCGGCAATGTGTGGCAGAATTTGTTGGCCAGATTACCGACACAGAGATATTTTGTTCCGACGTAAAAAGTCTTGGGGATTCCCGAAGCCACATCAGATACTTGAGTTGCGATAGCGTTAGCCGCACTCCGTATTCGGCTCACCGAATCTGGGAGAACAGTTTTGACAGTGCCTCCCAATCTGGATGTGACAGCGTCAACAAAGCTTGGTACTTTAGGCAGTTGTCTCCCTAGAACATCTTTGAGCTGCCGAGATAAATCAAGCTGCAGGTTATGTCAGTACCAGGCCCAATGCTCGGTCCTTCCGATCCTTCTTGAGTACCTCTATGGTAGCGACTCCCGACTTGGAATAGCCCTTGGAGAGTGACAAGGCAGCTAGAACAATGCAGCAAATCAAACAAAGTGTCATGGCGGCAATGAGGGTAGCTCTACAGCAGCTAGCTCTCCGCATTATATGCGTTAGTGTTAGCGATTGCGGGTGGACTTTAGCGTATATGGCGATCGGCAGAGGATGTTGCCGCCGGAGTGTAGATTTTAGAAAGAGTCCTCCTGAAGAATGAATCCAGAGGTCTCAGGACGGCCTCTTATGGCTTGGAGGGATGCTCATGGAGGAAGGCTCTGGACATGGTTCTGAATAGGCTCAAAGATAGTCCTGGAAGTGGTCCTGGAAGTGGTCCTAGAAGTGGTCCTAGGAGTGATCCTAGAAGTGATCCTAGAAGTGGTCCTAGAAGTGGTCCTAGTGATGGTCACTTCGCCGAACTCATTGCAGCACTAGGCCCACCACCTCCAGGGCTTCTCAATCGGCATCGCAACAGAGCGCTCGAGTACTGGGATGAACATGGTAGGCATGATGGAAGCCTACTCCGTATTGAATTTTTCCAACACTTCTAACCATTCTCTGTCTGCTCAGGAAACTGGAGCGAGTTTGTGCCTATACCGAAGGAGAGGACTCTCGAGGCAGCTGAAACCAAACTCGAGGATAATACCAAGTTCCTCCAGTTCATTCGAAGAGCCCTTACCTGGGATCCGGACGCTCGCCCTACAGCGAAGGAACTTCTGCAAGACCCGTGGTTGAAGGACTAGGCTAGGTTGCCGAGTTGCTTCATTATTCCATCAATACCCCAAACGTTATTTCCTCGGAGCATGCCCCTGGCTTTGCGTCTGGCAGATTGGTGGCCTTCTTGGCCTTGGCCTTGCGTGTCAACGGAGGCAAGGCCACAGCTGGCTGCGCGAGTACGATGGTGTCCCCACCGGACCCTTTGATACCTATCTTAATCGAAGGTACTGGGCAGATGTAACCTGACGGCCAGTGGCGAGGTAGATACACAGCTGGACAGAGTATCAGGCTGTTGACGGCAGTGACGACGTTGTTGTTGCTTGGTTGGCAGGGGTCGGGAAGGTAAATTGCGCAGTATGTTCCAGCCAGGGCTTAGGAGCTTGGGATAAGTAATGAGCCTGTAATAGGGTAAGTTGGGGAAGGGGGGAGGTAAAACCAATTGCTAGATATCGAAGGTGCTTCAGCACTTACGACAGTGACGAAGACTGAATAAAATTCGAACCTGGCGTGGGTAATCTTCTGGTGTAAATATTCTTGGCAATGGGAAAGACATTCAACTTGCCCTGAGAGCGAATCTCATGGGGCGTACTACGGCTTCATGTAAGCTCCCGAGCCGCAAAACCAAATGCCATAAGCAGCGCCATGGTGAGGCGGGCAGGCTCAGGACCCAAAAACGGGTACCATGGAGGCGAACACGGAAAGTGACATGAGAAAGGCGTCGATCTACAGGCCGCGCATGGGAGAGGGGGAAGGCTCCTTACCTCCCACCACCACGCAGGTAGGGTAAGATCACTAGCAACGAAATATACGTCGTCGCTCTACATACGATCGTCATCTGTGCTCTGCGTAAGCATCATGCCTCAGCAGGCTAGTGAGGGGCCACGGACCGGATCCACGATTCCCGTGGGTGCTTGATGTTGGCGATTCTTCGCTGAACCGTCATTTTCTTCCTTTGGTATGATGATCCCTACGGGGATACTGTCGTTCAGATCGGCAATTATGCAATCCAACCTCGTGCAGCTCGTCTTGTGTGTGAGACTGGAAACGGCCTTGTCTGGTTTTCTGCAACATGGACTGTTGTTGGCCCCACAACTGCCTGAGAAGGGAAGTGTGTTATGCGCACTGGGGTTCATGTAAAGTGTCTTCAAGTACGTTACCTTATACGAGTATAATCTTCTGCTGTCTGAACATCCACTCGACTGCCTTCCTCGCCAGAGACCCTCTCTCACACACGCCACTCTCATCTCATCCAAACAAAGTCCAGGACGTAACATGACATTCATATACTCATCACGGGGGTATCTATCCAAATTTCCCACTAGGGCATCCCACCCCAAGTAGCTCTTCAGCCTCCCAAAATACAAATGCAAAACCCGCTTGACCTCTGTCCAAAGGAAAACGATCTGACAGATGGCAGAGGGGCTTGAACCACCCAACCTGCAAAGCCTCCCACGTCACATGTTCGTACACACCTGGTCACCTTTTTGGTTTGCTCACGTCGTAACAGCCGCTGCCTCCGGCTCGGGCGACTGGCCCTCCTCTGTCTCACCGAGTCCGCGCTCCTTTAGGATCGTGCGCAGCTCCCTCATCCGAACCGGCTTCGTCAAAAACAGGTCCAGCCCGCTCGCGAACCCTTCCTTCCGAGCGTCCTGCGACCCCAGCCCTGTGATGGCGATAATGGTCGTGGGGTCGAGCTTGTGCAACCGCTCGAACTGCCGGATGCGTCGCGTCGACTCGAGGCCGTCCATGACGGGCATGTTAATATCCATCAGGATGCAGCAGAACTTCTCAGGGTTTGCGGAGAATGCATCGAGGGCTTGTTGGCCGTTCATCGAGGTGCAATGTTCGCGACCGAGACGTTTCATAAAAATGCAGAGGATCTGCGATGGTTAGGGGGCGCTTTCGCGATGGAGTGGCGGGGAGACATACCTTGAGATTAATAATGTTGTCGTCCACAATGAGGAATTGTGGGCGGTCGCATGCTTGAGGCGATATGGTTGCAGTACTGTCGCTGCTCCTTGAGTTGGTTTCAATGATCTCATTGCCTTCGGCCTGCTCGTTGGCACCATCTGCCTCAGTGACTGCCTCGGCGAGGCTAGGCGCTTTGATGGCACTGGCTGCTTCGAGTTCCTTGATGCTGTTGGCTTCAGCAGAAGCCGGCGCCGGAGTACGCCGCTGCGGCAGCGCCAGCTCAAAGTCCGGGTCGATGTCCATGTTCCAGAGACGGGACCCTATGCCCGACACGTTGGCCTGTCCCAGGTTTTCGATAGAACTCAACTCCTTGGTGCCGCTACAATGCAGACTGTTGGCCCCTGAATTGCTCTTCTTGACATTCGAGACAGATGCCGCCGCGACCGTGTTGACCACCTTCAGCTGCTTCCACCGGGTCAAGGCTGTGGCAACCGCTTTCCCGAACTTTCTCGGCGTGATTCTAGATCTCGTCAGTACTGGCCGCTGTGGAGAGTTTCACGGTCTACATACGGCTGATGAATAAACTCAAAAACGGCGCCCGCCGCTGTCTGCTTGAGCACAGCGTCAAACTTGATCGAATTGCCCGCGTTGTGGCAGACAACGATGCCCGGCAGGGGATGCTCCTTGATGCTGCGAGCGTCAAGTTGGCTAAAAGCAGCCTCGCTGTAAATGACAACATCGGCATCGGGAGCGACCGTGCCGTCGTTACCGCTGGATTTACATAGTTGCATGTTGTACCAGTTCAGTGGGAGGGAGTCAATGGGTACCGCCGAAGAACCATGCACACGAATGGGTCCCAGGGTCTTGTCGGTGAAACCAGTCGTTGCGACCCGAATTGACTGCAAAATCTGGCTGTCAAACGAGAAACGGGCGTCGGGTTCCTTTAGCCGCTCTTGCCTTTGAGAGAAAGTCAGGGGCAGAGAGACCGTCACGGTGGTACCCCTGCCGACGCGACTCTTGACGGTTATGGACCCCCCAAGTGAGGCGACAATGTGCCGGACGAGACTCAAACCGAGCCCGGTACCGGGAGCGAGGTGGTTTTCCTGCGAGAACGGGGTGAAGAGCTTGGTGCGAAGGAACTCTTCGGTGATGCCCTTGCCCGTGTCGGCGACGACGACGACGGCCTGGGAAGACGTAGGGGAATTCTTGACGCCAGCCTCCTCCTGTTTGAGGCTGATCTTGACATGGCCGTGAGACGTGTACTTGAGCGCGTTTCCGAAAAGGTTCATAATAATGCGCCGGATCGCTCCCGGTTGAGTGCTGAAGGTCCACGCGGGGTTGGGATCAATGTCGACGATGACCTGCACGTTGCCAATGTGGGTCGGCAGGTTGTCTGGGTTGATCCGCGACTTGCTCATGTCGGTCGAGTAAATGGTATCCAGACGTTCTTGCGCCGGGCTCATGGGCCCCTGGGCACCATGCCTGGTCAGTTGCGCGGCCACCATGTGCTGGAAGCTGTGTCCGATGAAGACGCTTTCAATGACTTCTTCGGCAAGCAAGTCAACTTGGACATCTGATACGAGCGTCATCATGCCGGCTTCGATGTTCGTCGGTTCCTGGTCTTCGTGTAGGAGACCACGGCGGCCCTTTTTGTTTCTCCGACGTGCTTTCGAAGCTCGCAGGAATGTGTTGATCTTGCTATGTGCCAGCAACTGCGAGAGGTCAGCATGAGAGACAGAGAGAGAGAGACCTTGGAAGTTGCAGAACTCACATGATCAATGATGTCGAGGAGCGTCTTGCCGGAAATCTCAATAGTGTGAACCACGTCAACCTGGAAAGCATCCAGCTGGGTACCGTGTAGCAGCTCAGTAGCGGCCACGATGCCGTGTAGTGGGGATCGCAACTCATGGCTCAAAGATCCTAAGATGTCCGCCTTAGCCTTGTCGGCTACGGCTGCGTCCAATCGCCTGATCTCCGCCATGGTGATCATGCCAAACGCCCTCAGATACGGCAGATCTGCAATCGTCGTGATCATGCGCGCCGAGTTCTTGCTCCATACGAAACCGCCCGCATGCCATCTCTCTTTGTAAGGATCCCACAGGGGTACCATGGCCACGCTCCGTGCGCCAGGGAAGAGCGAACCGATAGTCATGGCCTCGTTCCTGCGGGAGTAGGGCGACCCTTTCACCTTGGCCGCCGACCTGGGAAGCTTGGGCTGCGAGGCGTTCTCCTTGGCATCAGGTTCCTGGGACGAGGGATCCGAATCCTCGACGGACGATTCGCCTGAATACCAGGAGCCGGCTTGGTCGAAGCTGAAGATCTCGCCATTCGGGTAGCGACGCATGAGCTTCTTCAGAAACTTGTCAGTCAGCGTCGGCAGTGTATTGGCCTCGGCTTCCGCCTGGTTAAATATATTGGGTACGGGGTGGTTGTGGGACGTGGATCTGCCAAAGACATGACAAGGTGTTTCTTCGTCGCTGATTCCGGACTTCCCAGACCCGCTGTCCTCGCTGCTTGAGGTTGGGTCGTCTGAACCAGTAGAGGACTTGTGCGGCGCCGGGCTAAACATCCCGCCAAATGACCCGACACTGGCGTCGAGGAACAAGGCTCCATCAACGTCGAGCGACTCCCGGATGATGTGAGCAGCCTTGGCAAAGATGCGATCGATTTCGGCCGGGTGGGGATCCACAGGCGGCACGCTCGAAGCGTTGGTGCTCATCGTGCCAAACGTGTCGGCAGAACCTGCGCAGGAGCCGGCCTGGCCGTCGATGGAGGCAGTACTCAGGCTTGGGCGGCGGATGAGTTCGGGGCACTGGTCCGTGGCCTCCAAGAGACCATCTTCGCCAACATCGATGTAGGGCACATCAGGAACAGGGAGGTCATCTGGTTCGTAGGGTTGGGCTTCGGCGACGTGATGGTCGGTGGTGGACCACCAGGTGGCGGGCTGGTCTCTGCCCTGGATAAAGTGGCCCAGACCCTGCACCATGCGCTCGCTGCGGATGTAGCTCTCGGTACGGCGCCTCGACTCGAGGTGGCCCATGATGGTCTGGGCGAGGTCGGCCAGGAACTGGACCTGGTCGGGGGGAAGCGACTGGCGGGGCTCGGGGTCGAAGACGGAGAGAACACCAATGTTGAAGCCCTTGGGCGAGCGAATGGGTACGCCGGCATAGAAGCGGTGGTTTGGTGCCTGCTTGACGAAGGAGCGGGTGTTGAAGCGCGGGTCGGCGGCGAGATCGGGGACGACAAGGACGGGAAGCGTGCCCTGTACCGTTTCGGTGGGGATTGCCTCATGGGCGTCGGCGTCGACGAGAACGTGGTCACAGATGCCAAAGGCACGAGGGACCGCCGTGCCGCAGAGCCACAGGTGGTCTTGGATACGGGTGGCATTGGCGTGGAGGGGGATGGTGGGCGTGGCTTCGGCGACGATGTACTGACGACGGCTGTCGAAGAGGGAGACGAGGGCGCGCGAGGCGTTCAGACGGAGAGCACATAGCTGGGCGAGGGCGGTCAGGTTGGTGTCGGAGCAGGAGGTGAGGGCGTCGCGGGGGATGGGACGTTCGAGTTCGTTGACGATAGTTTTCGAGATGAGTAGGGAGTCGTATCTGCAGGGTGTCAGTCCGTTCGGTTCTGTGTGGCGTTGGAAGCGGGGGGTTGTCTGGGTACTTCAGTCTCCCACTCGCGGGCACCGCCCATGGCTCCGTTTCCCTAGTAGGCGGGGGATTGCAGCAGAGGCTGCGAAAGCATGGAGAGGGTTGGTTTTCAACCTGGTGATGTTGAGGCTGGCTTTGGTCGTGCAATGGGTTGGCGGGCGAGGGAGGACGAGGACATTGAAAGTGACGCGAACGAGGAGGGACGATTGACTGTGCGCAGGACGAGATGCTTTGGAGTTGGTAACGGACTGTGGTTTTCCCCAGGGGACACGGGGGAAGGGGCCGAGAGGAGGGAGTGGTCCGGAGCCTGGCCAGACTCTGTAGCGGTCCAACGACGTCAGAAGGTCTGTACAACTATCCGTGGTACCGTTGCGCTGGCCGCTTCTTGTCGGTAGCGTACTTGTTGCTTCTTACAGTGCCTGAAGGCTTAGGTTTCGGGGCAAGCCAGCCGGATAAATCGTCGATTGGCCGATCTCCGGGGCCTTCGTTTCGTAGGTGGTAGGTGGTAGGTTGGTAGGTTGGTAGGTTGGTAGGTTGGTAGGTTGGTAGGTTGGTAGGTTGGTAGGTTGGTAGGTTGGTAGGTTGGTAGGTTGGTAGGTTGGTAGGTTGGTATGTTCGCCGCAGAGGCGGCCAGCCGGGGCAGTGATATTCTTTAATTCATCAACCTCTGAACCTAGTGCGCCCCCAACTGCCGCCTCTGCGCCTACAAGACCAGGCTCCACAGCCGCCCAGAAGAAATCGATCCTCATTCCCATCCATCATCCTATACGCTCTCAATCATGCCCGACAACGACATCCGCCTGCTCGCCCTCGACGGCGTGCGGCGTCCGTGGCCTCTCCTCCCTTATGATCCTGCGCAACCTCATGACCACCATCAACCCCGACAACCCGCCCAAGCCTTGCGACTACTTAGACATGATCGGCGGCCTCATCACCGTCATGCGCGGCCGCCTGCGCATGTCCGTCGACGACTGCATCACCGCCTACGCCTCCCTATCCGACGAGGTGTTCGAGAAGAAGAGCGACAGAGTCAGAATCAACGGGCAACTGCAGGGAAGGTTCGACAGCAAGGCTCTCGAACGGGCCATCAAACAGATCCTCAAGCGTACCGGCCACGACGAGAATGCCCTCCTCAAGGACGCTTCCAATATATGCAGAGTGTACGCCTACATTCGTGTCTCTTTTAATCACAGCTGACCCTACAGGTTCGTCTGCGCGACGAGCAAGGAAACCGCCGACACCGTCTGTCTGACGAGCTACCGCTCCCCCAGGTCGACCCACCTGCTCGACTGCACCACCGTCTGGAAGGCCTGCTGCGTCACCTCCGCCGCCACCACCTTGTTCGACGCCGTGACCATCGGCTCCTTCGGCGAGCAGTTCGTCGATGGCGCCCTCGGCACGAATAACCCCATCTCCGCCCTCTGGACCCAGGTCCAGGACGTGTGGGGCGATCGCCTGCGGGGCTGCCTACGTGTCGATCGGCACGGGAGTGCCCGCCCTACGACCGGTGCGGGACGACGCGCTAGGGATCTAGGCGACGCTGAAGGAACTCGCGACGGAAACCGAAAAGACAGCCGAGCAGTTCCGCCGCGACAAGGCCGAGCTCGACGACGACGGCCGCTACTTCCGCTTTAATGTCGTCCGCGGCCTCAAGCATATCGGCCTAGAGGAGTCAAAGAGGAAGGCGGAGATTGCAGCAGCTACGGGACGGTATGTCGCGTCGCAAGAGGCGTTGAAGCGCATGAGGACGTGCACCAACGGTCTCGCGAGGAGGCAGTGTTAGTCATTCCCATAGCCAGGAATATATTGTTACTATCACCTGCTAATTGGTCGCCAACTCGTTAGACCTCGGCCCGTACAAGACGCCCTTCAGCCTACAGGGCGTGCCCGTGTCGGCCAAGTTCGTCGACAGGCCGTCCGACACGGCCCGCTTGGAGGAATGCCTCCTCTCCCGGCGGTCGCACCGAAAGGGGAAGAAGGTCTTTGTGCTGCATGGACTCGGCGGCGTTGGTAAGACGCAGCTGGCCGTCGACTTCGCCCGACGCCACCAAGCCGCGTTCAGCTCGGTCTTCTGGCTCGACGGCCGTTCGGACGACCGGCTGAGGCGGAGTATCGCCGGGTGTATCAACAGAATACCTGAGGGACAGATTCCCTTGGCAAGCCGGCAGCAGGCCGAGGGACGCAGTGTGGAGGACTTGGGCGCGGCGGTGGTCAGCGTAATGGCGTGGCGCGGACGGCCAGACAACCACAGCTGACTTCTCGTCTTTGACAACGTCGACCTGGACCACGAACAGGGCGGGGTGGTGGGTGTGTACGATGTCAGGCAGTATATGCCGTGGGACCACGGGTCAGTCCTGGTCACGACGCGGGTGTCGCGGCTGGCGCAGCTGGCGCCGCCGGGCAACTCGTGCAAACTGGCCAAGGTCGACGATGGCCTCGGCAGGGCCATCCTTGGTGGTGAGTGGTCCTGCACTTGTTGTTGCGACAGAGCTTACGGCTAACGTCACATCATACCCCGACGCCGACCGGCTCCTGAACCTCCTTGACGACCTACCACTGGCGCTAGCCCAGGCGGCCTCCTACCTCTGGGAAACAGGAATCAGTATTGCGAAGTACTTGAAGATCTACCAACACCAGTGGGACGTGTTGATGGCCTCTGAATCGGGCCACCCCTTGCTAGACTATGAACAGGGCAGCATCGCGACGACCTGGACGGTGTCGCTCCGACAGATCGAGGATATGAACGCCGCCGCCGCCGCTAGCCTGCTGCGCCTCTGGGCCTTTCTCGACAACAAGCATATGTGGCATGGGCTGTTGACAGTGGCAGCCGGCGGTGGCTCACAGCAATGGCCCGGGTGGCTCAAGGAGCTGGCCGGCAGCGAAGTGCGATTTCTCGACGCCATCCGGCTTCTCCTCCGCTACTCCATGATCGAGACACAAGAGGGTACCGGCGACGGCTACTCAATGCACCCGGTTGTGCACACATGGGCGTCGCACCTGGACGGCCGCAGTCGCGGGGCAGAGCAGGCGCGACTGGGGCTCATGATGGTCGGACTGTCGGTACCGACTTCCGATGAGAAGGAATATTGGGTGGTGCAGCAGCAGCTCTTGCCACATGCGCAGCGGTGCGCGGAATGGATGCAGAGCGGATCTCCCGACATTTTCAAGCATATTGACAAAAGTATATTCAGGCCTCTTAATAGCCTGGGAACCCTCTACGCGGACCAAGGTAAGCTGGCGGAGGCGGAGGAGATGTATCGGCGAGCGCTGGCCGGTCGTGAGAAGGCCCTTCGACCGACCGCACGGACACTCTTGGCACCGTCAATAACCGGGGGCTTCTCTATAAGAACCAAGGCAAGCTAGCCGAAGCGGCGGGGATGTATCGGCGAGCGCTGGCCGGCCGTGAGAAAGCCCTTGGACCCAACCACACGGACACTCTCCGCACCGTCAACAACCTGGGAATCCTCTACGCGAACCAAGGCAAGCTGGCCGAGGCAGAGGAGATGTTTCAACGAGCACTGGCCGGCTATGAGAACGCCCTTGGACCCGACCATCCAACCACAAAGTTAGTGTCGCGCAATCGAGACCAACTACGACACATTACAGGTTAGTCAGTCTACTATGGTAGGCTATAGGCCTAGCGGCTGACTTGGTTCGCAGAAATACCAGAAAGCGGGAGGAAGCCGCAATGGAAGAGGGTTGGGATGCAGATACAAACACTTGTTCGAACTGGTCGGTTTCGGAAGCCGAAGGTGTGAAACGATGGAGATGACCACGCAGGTTGAGTGTTGAGATGACGGTCTTGGATGTTGCAGAGTCGGACAAACTCGTCGTGGGTGAAGTAGTGGCAAGAGAACACGGCCCGAACACAACCACCATCTTCTGCCCGCCCCCGCGCTCCCTAAGTATCATGGGACACTGCTACTTGGGCCATTGTTCTTCAGTCAACATCAATTATTACATAGTTTGACGTATCTTCCGTCTAGCGAGTCCGGATTCAATCCATACTTGGTAGTATGCATCGGTGGCCAGGGAAGAAGACCGAGGCAGAGGTTGTACGCCAGACGGATTGAGGAAGTGGGAAAGTGTAAAATGCCTTCAAACGTTAAGATAAGAACAAGATGGACTAGGAAAGGCTTTTTGGCGTTTGGTGAGCATCAAGCCAAGGTGATCATGTTCTAGCCATGATGACTGGCGGCCTGGAAGAAGGAGATGGGCGTGGCAGAAGTAATCATCTTCAGAGCTCTAAGTCCGACTTTCTTCTCTGGTAGTGCAGCAGCTCTTCGTCTGCGCCGCTCGAATTCATTCGGCGGATGCGATCGCGCAATTTGAGGCCGGCTTCTCTGCCGTCCATACATGTCTGGTCAGAGCATCAGTAACACTAATCCTCATGATCCACTTGTTCTCCGCTTCCGGGATTCGTGACGAACACCTTGCCTTTCGAGGTCTCACCGGTCTATTACATCAAGCGTCTGGCTCAGGCAAGACGGCTGCGGCAGCAAGGGCTCAGTTCCCGTGCCAAAGCATTTTTACATCCCGAGGTCTCATGCCGCCAGTCCTGAGTACTAGACTCCCGACCTCCCTCCTCTGCTGCTGCCTCTCTCTGTTTTTCTATTTTCCCATCTTATTGGTTTTGATGTGACCGACCTGGCCACAATGTTGCACTTTCGGCTCGTCCCGGGAGCGATATCGGGCTCGGATGATCCAGCGTCGGCGCCATTGCTCAACTTAGGGTGATAAATGCCTGATTGCTTCCGAACAGGGATACATTGAGCTATTCCACGACGAGAGAACTCCTCACCTAGACATCCTAGGGAACAACCCACTTCTTCACCCATCGCCAACCCTCTGACGCGAAGTACTCCTTACAACGGCTCCAAGATGAGTGCTTGCTGGCATTGCGGCCGGTACTTCAAAGTTGGGAGATCGCTTGCGTGGTGTGGCACTGGAATCATATCCTCGATATCGTTACGAAAAGTCGTGGGCGAACTCAGGTCCTTCAAAGCCCCAATATACTCGAGGAGTACCTTGTTGTTCCTCGCCAACTTCTCATGCTCCTTGTTAACCTTCTCGATACGGCTGATGAGGAGTAATGAGTCCTGCAGTGCCTTTTCGTGCCTAGGTCAGAACGTTAGCCAGCCATTCCCTGTACGGTGAAGTTTAACCTGATGTGGTTCGCAAGTTGACTATTTGCCTGCTGACTCAGCCATCCTCGGCGACAATCTGTAGGCTTGGCTTACCAGCGCCGTTCAGCTCCAATCTCACGCCCCAAGGCCTCAGTTTCGTCGCATGTCATCTTCGGGCTCATAGCCATAAAGCCCTCTAGTGTATTGGTTACCTCGGCAAGTTCGACAGTGCCCTGTGGAAACAGGGGCTAGAAAAAAGCTCTTAACTAATGATCCGAAAGTAGCCCACTCGCTATGCATTTACGTTACTTTACTTTACTTTACTTTACTTTATAGAAGATTTTAAAACTGTTAGACAAGGGGGGACGTAGTATTGTAGGTATAGGTATATATCGGAGGGATGTTGTATAGAGGTAAGGAAGTCGGTAAGAGGTAGGGCTATCGGTACAGCCAGAAGACGGGTTCGGCAGGGCCGTCAAGCGACGAGATAAGGTCTGTCCGTAAGAGTCGTCGTCCCGGGGCTTGAGGGAGACACGGGGCCGACGCTAGCTATCGTGGGGCTTCGTAGGTCTGCCGTGAGAGTCGTCGGAAGCCGTCGGGAGTCGTCGAGAGAGGTTACTGGACATAGGTAGTCATAGGGAGGTCGTGGATAGATAAGAGAGATAGCTACGGATAACTTATCGATAGGAGAGATAGAGGATAGATAGTGGACGCTTCTAGAGGTATCTAAAGCGTTGAGAATGGAGACTGGTGAAGTAAAAGGCGTTGGAATTGCGTATATAACTGCGTGTCTAACTCTTCTCTTCCTGACAGGTAAAAATTGGAAACAGACAGAGCCGTACTTGTGACAGACTGGCCCCCAGGTGCATTGTGCGGGGACCCCACGTACTGGTCACCTACAGCTGCGGGGTAAATCCGGGGCTTACTAAGCAGTAAGCCAATAAAAACCTAGTTGGAGTATTTGTAACTATTGAGCCTGGTTCGTGGCTTTCGAGCCCCCCTACAAAGGGTAGTTAGTTGAAGGTGTTGATGATATTTGTCCACTGTATTGGGGTATGGTTGTATGGTTGTATCGTGGTATATCCCTTCTAGTATGCATGGTAATGATGTAAACGGGCCGCAGTGCAGATTCGAACATGGAAGTACATGGAAGCCCATGGTAGCCCAGCGAGCCAGGCTTTTGGAGTCCAGTTGCCACAAGATGGCGATGGCCGCCCACCGCGTGATGGCGCCAGCGCAGAGCCAGCTGCGACCTGCCCGCAAGACGTTGTCTTTTGTGCCGTATGCTGACTGGGATCCAGACCAGACATATGATGACTTGCCCCCGTCGTGTCTCTGTTACGTCTTGGAATGGAGTGACTTCAACAACCGAAAAGTGCGGATGCAAACCAAAGAAGGCCTTTCAGTCGACACGGAAACGCATCGTCTCCCTACCTGCCACCACTCCCTCCAGTCATCGGATGTTCGCGCCAGGGGAAAACCTCATTTCTCGCCGACAATGGGTGCGCCGATGCAGTTATGGAGTCAGGGAGCGGGTGGGTGACATGGAATAAACAGCCTCCTCATTGCACCAACGGGGCACACCCCCTCCTACTGAGGCGCTCCAGGCCTGGTCGACCGGGAGGGGCCTTGGTCGAGCCGAAGCATCGGATGTTCGCGCAGTGTCGTCGGATCGTCCTCTTGCTGCACTCGGCCAGCTTGGACTTTTACCTGTTTGTCAGCGAGCTGCTTTCTATGAGACCATGGGTCACCTCATGCTTGGAGGCGGCGAGATTGGGCGCCACAGTCATTCTGGGAAGCAACGTCAGCAAAACTCTGACGGCATGCTCGACTCAGGCACGATGCCGGAATTACCTCCACAAGCTGCTGTCCGACCGCTGGGCCAGCATCTCAACAAACCGCGCTGCTAGGCTCTATGGATGGCGCCGCAGCTTGCCCGACCGACGGTCACTGTCACTGGGCTAAATGAGACAAATAAGCCAGAGAAGGTTCCTAGGCTAGTTTCTCACGACGACCATTGAAGGATGTAGAAGCCTAGCGGGGTGCTTGATGGTATGAAGTGTCCTCAGTTGCGGGTTGTCGCATCGGTGCTTTTTTCAACAAGCCTGTCATATCAGCCATGACGGCGTCGCCATTCTGGGTGCTGGACTGAAAAATTCGGCGACTTTACGACAACGGTCAATCGTCCCTGCGATGTCCTCTTCCCCTTAGGCTCGATCGTGATGGCCCCCAAATAGTGAACAGATGTTGTTGCATAGTAAATGATCCAGGGTTATCTGACAGTTTGCACGGTCTTGCTGCGTTCCTGGCGCGGGCTTCAATGGGATTATTTTCCCGGAGACTAGGGGCGATCGATGTCACAGGAAGTTGGAACGGATAGATTGACTACTGTGTCTACTCTGGAGCCGTGACCACGCAGAACTCGGTGTGTGCTGCTCATGTGACACAATCTCTCCATTATCTGGCCATCATTACAAGAGAACCAAGCAATTGCAGCTTCCGCGGCTTGTTGCCATGCCTGCGACGGGAAAACGGACCGAGGTTGGGCGGGACTGTTTCCGAGTTTAACTGTCACAACACCTATAGCGCGAGCATTCGGTTGTCTTTTCAATTTCATTGGCCGGAGTTTGAGGACTTTGTACTGCTATGACGGCAGTCAGGCTCTTCGAATTCGCTGGGTCCCTACGCGGTAACTCTTGCAACATAGGTAGTGTACTCTGAATCTGATCTACTGTCTACTCCTTGACTGAGTGCGCAGAGATGGCGAGTGCACCTGCGTTCTTTTGGAAAATTGCCTATACTCATTTACTAGTTCTGCAGCATGGTCTTGAAGTAGGTTGCGGGCGTGACCTTCGGCGCGGCCAGACGCAGGACTTCCTGACTTGTTGTGTAGGACGTGCATTTTCCTTCCCAAGTCGTGACTTGGGCAAACCTGAGTGAGCTGATAATGGATTTGGGCTCTGAACTCTGTGCCGCCACATACTCAACCCAGGAAACGTCCTTGAACTAAACGTTCTTAACCTTGGTGCCAATCTCATGCTTGACGAGATCCGTGATCTGCCGTCCACTAATATTTTCTGGGCCATTCAGAACGTACTCTGCTTTGCCTTGTCGTGGAATGTCATCTTCCATTAGCAGGTGGGCTGCGGACACTCCAATCTCGATTGGATCAATGAGAACGACAGGTGTGTCCTCCGAGGCGGTCAAGCTTAAGGCGCCTGTCTTGCCTGTTAAGCCCTTGAACTCAGGCGAGCTTAGCATAGCCTGAACTCTCCAGTGGGCCCTTGCGTAGTAGGCGTTGCAGTCCGGGCGCACGTTGGTAGCTGTGCAGAGATTCGCAAAACATACTCTAGACCTGATTTGAGCGCACCTAGCCGGAATACTGACTCTTCGGTGAAGTGGCTGGTCTCGATTGGGACGCGATGAAGGCGCGGACGACGGTGTGTTGGCGAAATCAGTCTGCAGCAATCTCAACCCAAGGTTACTCGATCACATCGACACTGGGTAGAGCAGCGAGCTTCTGCGCCGGAGTACTGCGAGAGGACCGGGTCAGGGGTATGATCTTGGACTTCGAAAGGAAGTGCTTGACTCGAGGAGCCTGGACAAGGCCATGACGACGCCCTGTCCGGTATTGCCCGTCGTACCGACCACAAGAAAATTCGACGGCATGATTGATAATTCTGGAGCTGTTTCGGTTCAGGGAGAAAGACTCGTTCTGAGAAGGAAGGCTAGGCCGGAGGTTGGGAACTGCGGAAAGACACGAAAAAGTCCGTGCTACTCATCTTTTCCAGCCGGGGATCAAGGGCGGCAAAGTAAATCTTGCCCATGTCACGCATGCTATCTGCTGCCGTGCCTGTGCGCGGAATCAAGGGAGATCGTGTGTGAGCAGACAGGTGTCAGAAGAACGTAGCAAAATCATCGAAAGACGAGGAGTCAGGACGCAACTCAATTCAGTAGACGTGGGAACGCGACGGTACCAAGTAAAGTTGGAGCTCCACAGCTAAGGTGGCCATACCGGTACTGGTTTAGGCCTTCGGGGGCTGAAGGCGGCTTACCTAGACGGCCGAACTGATCATCTCGAAGTCTTTGAAAGCTGGCCAATCTCGAGCGAAGAAGCGACGCATTTGGCATACTTCCACGTGCACGGACTATCAGGGTTACCGAAACCTCACCCAGCTTTAGTGCGGCGGTACTTCCACTCTTGGAGCATATAGTTATGACACCCACTCCTCGTTCGGCCCACACCAGGACAATCTTTGGTGGAACACCGTCACCGGAATCTCATTATCGAGTGTTTTCGCTAGTGCCAGTGGATCCCGCCGCGACGGGTTAACTAGTGTAAGCGTTACAGAATGTATCCCGAAACAGTGGATGCGAAACCGAGGTAGAGCATCCTTCACGGTCCCTGCTTGCTCGCTACGGAACAATATGCACCAATTTATAATCAACCTCGCCTGTTCTGCGGAACTGGCGGACTTGGGCGGAGTTTCGATTATAAAATGATGCGAGAAGAGACGTGATCATTTGTTATTAACATCTAGACTCGGCAACATACGTCCGCTTTCAACCAAGCACTTCACTCACACCAATCAACATCGCTATATGCACTAGTAAGACATTGTCGTCATGAAGATTGCAGTGATCGGGGCAAACGGTGAGACCGGTACATCTATCATCGATGGTCTTCTTGAACACCCTCACCCTTTTGTAGGCTCCCTTCAAATATATTCTATAAGCAAATACTAATACATTTAGGAAATCACTGCTTTCACCCGCCCTACCTCCCTGCAAAGCTCCGCGAATCAAGCGTTCCGTGCTCGCGGCATCAATGTACAGCCTCTTGACATCACGGGCGACGCCGCCGCCCTCGTCAAGGCCTTTACTGGGATTGAAACCGTCGTTTCCGCTGTCAACTTCGCGGGCCTACCCTCCGAGCCTGCAATCGCCACTGCTGCAAAAACCGCGGGTGTTGCCCGCTTTGTCCCCTGCTTCTTCGCCACTGTTGCCCCCCCAAAGGGTGTCCTGGCCTTACGCGACATCAAGGAGGACAATCTCAACCACATCAAGAAGCTCTACTTGCCCTACACCGTCCTCGACATCGGCTGGTGGCAGCAAAATACGCTCCCACTGCTCCCTTCAAAGCGCAACGCCTACGTACATGTCGGCCACCCAAATGTCATCATTGGCACAGGGTCAGTCCGCTTCGCCAGTACTCATCTGGGTGACGTTGGTCGCCTCCTCGCCCGCGTTATCCTCGATCCTCGTACCCTCAACAAATCTGTTTTCGGCTTCGGCGAGTTAGCTTCCCAGACCGAAATATACGACCTCTTCGAACGACTGAGCGGTGAGACTATCGAGCGTTCGTACATGGACGAACAAACCGTCGCCGCCAACTTGCAAGAAATGCCTAAGTCAGCCTTGGGCACGCCTGACTGGTTCAAGCGCTCACAATTCGAGTATTGGAACACCTGGGGGGTGCGCGGTGATAATACTCCTGAGAAGGCGGCGTACCTGGGCTACCTCGACGCGCGCAAGCTATACCCGGACATGAAGCTACGAACAATTGAGGAGTATATCAAGGAAGTATTGGCGGGGAAGGCAAAGGAGTACTATGTAGAGATGAAGGCTGCCGTAGCTGCCGGGACTAATTCATAGTTGGTCTGCGTCAAACATATCTCGTGGCGGGAAATTAATAGTAATCATGCTACGTCAAATCGATGTGTTTCCTGCTGTGGCGTCTTGTATTGCACTGTGAACGAGGTATCTGGTGATCTGCCCGTGTATATTCTCCGAGGACTGAGGGTTCAAGCTGATGGAAGGCGACATTTAATTTTGGCGGTGAATGAAAGCGCGCTGGTTAGACCGTGATTAACCAATGATGGGAAAGAAGTGTAAGGTAGCGAGCTGTGAAGCCGCGACCTGGTGGGCTTGCTGGCGTTGAATACTTTCATTAATTCCCAAGGGATCTTTCCCTCTTCAAGGTGGTTTCAATGAAGATGTAGAAATACCACTCCTGTAGACTAAGCAGTGTTTGTTAGCTGGGAGATCTATCGCCAACATGTTGTCGTCCAGATGCGGGATCACCCACCATCCTTAGTAGTTCCTTCTTGGACTGTAGCCAGGTGCAAATCCCCGAAACAAGTGCCTCATGGATCGCCAGGCCCTATGGGCCATGCCTCATCCGAGGTCCTCCCAGTGTGTCTGCGCGCCAGAGCGCTCACTCGAGTCGCGGAAGACAGGGAACCAAGCTTGTCCAACCACAGAGGAGTATCTAGTACCGCATCCGCATGCGGGGGACTCTGGCGATAAATTAGTGCCCCTCTGGGCCAATACCGCGTTCATTACCGATATTAGCTCTGGGGGATCCCCCCGAAGTGACGGCACCAGACCGGTAAACCCAATTTCCACCCAACCCATTAGGTCATGGCCAAGTTGCAGAAGTCCATATCCTATGGACGCAAGCTACGCTATCCCGAGAATTCTCGTGCACTATCGCAATGACCCCCCTCATATCTTTGGCCCGTGCATCCCAACCTGAGGGAGGACGGAGTTGCTGATCATCACATTTCGCCCCTCTTTCCAACCCATATGCAAAGATAAGTTATCTGCTCTGTTGCGCCAGCCCTGTTTGCACCTTGAGCGTGAAGAACCCAGTCTGCGGTCATGGGGCGTTCATCGAGGCGAGATGGAGGATCTACAGGGCTGCTTCATCAAAGGGGGCCCTGACACTTCCCGTCTCTAAAGTTTTTAAGTGGCTCACGTCGCGTCGACGCAGCCCAGGCACTGTGACCAGCTGTCCGCCGGCAGGGCCGCCGTGGGCCGGTTCGGGTCGGGGGCTGTGTCATATTGCCTGGAGTACATCCTACGCCGCTATAGTCCATCTATGTCATGCCATGATACGCGATGGCAGCTTTGCTCGCTCGCGACACTCTCCGAGTATGCGAGGTCTAGGCCCGAATTTGACTGCGATTGATTTCGTCTCGCCAGGCTTGGAAATGGGACACAGGTATAAGGTTCGGCTTGCGTCCGCCAGATGACTACAGACTCGGCTGCTTCGTATGTACTCATCTTGCTCGTGCACAAAGGAATAATCCTCATGATAATGTACCCTCTGGTGTGTTGCAACGTGCCCGTATTAAATGGGGGCCGTGAATCCTTCGTTCGAAAAGCACGGATCTGTGAAGGTACTGATCGTTAGTGATGACTTTGATGAACCGCAGGACGTAGCTGTCCCATTTACACCCGAATAAAATCAGCAAAGGGCTGTCGTCCTCTCTAATAGGGAGACACTGGTCTTGGGCGGTCATCTAGAACAACCCTGGACCGTCCAGTACATAGATTTGAAGCAAAATGTGTACGACGTTTTAACTACTAACATCGTCGCCTTTTCTAGAGTTAAATACGTCGCCACCTAGCCAGAGAGGTCAGTCGACGTAGCCGACCCCGTTCGATCCCAGATTTACACACCAGACTCCCCCGATAGCCTTTCATAGCCGACACCAAGACCGGCGAGACTACACATGCCGCCTCGCAGGACGAGGCGGCGTTTATGATCTCCGAGAAGCTCATGTTCGACCTGAAAGCCTGTTCGACAAGCTCTTTGCGTTCAGTATTTTACACCAAGCCGAGAATGTCACCCCTTCCTGCTGCGGGTGTCTCGATGGGTCGACGTCGGCGGCTCGATAGGAGGCAGCGAGCCTTGAGAGACTCGTCACTTCGGTTCCGGCCTTGAAGCGAACCGGAAAGAGGTTGGACATCGACGTAGAGCTGACCTCGCCCAGATGACTGCCTACAGGTGTAGATAAGGCGCTTTTCAGCTAGGGGAGAGGGTGGAGGGGTTCTCAGGTCGTGGCTTGATAGGGAGCAGGTATATCGCATCCAGATCCATTAACGGAACCACTGACCTTGCGCCACCGAGAAGGTTAGAAAGGCGTCTTTAGCATGATATTTGGTTCAGCTCAGTTGGTGGTCATAGTTCAATTGGGTGCAGATGACGAATGGGTGAGACGTCTCCGTTTTCATCGACGTTCCATTGAGCTACAAAAGTAAAGTCCGCCAATCCGTTTTACAAGGTTCAACGCCGTTCTATTGCGAGACAAGGCTTTGGTTGATTTCCTGTTCGCGTCAGTCATATGCGGCCTGCCTACAGACACATATATACAGAGCGGCCTCGCCATCAGACATCGGGGTGCACGTTACGGACACACCTGGAAAACCTTCGTTGGTACTACCTGCCGTGAAATATGGCTTCAAAGGCAGACCTACAAGAAAAGTTTCAATACCACTTCGTACGTATCGAGCTGCTTGAGAAAGCTTTGTTGGCAGACGGGGCTTCAGTGGCACACCCTGAAGTCCACGGACGTTCCGACGGCAATAAACCTCTTGCGCTTGTCGGAGATGCTATTTTGAAACTACTGGTTGCCGTTGATGGCTACCTCGCTACCTCCCCCGAAGCTTGACCATCGAACTGCACCATACCCTCGATATCCTTGATCCAACTGACTCGGTGTTTGACATACTGCTCGATTGTTGGTTCCAGTGCAGTCTCTGCAAGCCTGAAGTCATCAACAGTGCCAATTCTGAGGATGCTCGCCCCTGGGATACCCGCAGACCGACGGTACATGAGCGTGCCGCAGGTACTGCAAAAGAAGTTTGTCATAGGCTTGCCCTCTTGCTTGATGGTGTCTGACTGGCTGAATTGCTTAAGGTTCTCCTCCCCGCGAATATGCTTTAAGTGAGAGTCGAGGACTATGAAGCCAGAGGTGAACATTGACGCCGTGATCTTACGGCAGTCACTGCAGTGACAGACGAATGAGAGGATTAGGCCTGGTTTCGTAATAGGCTGAAAAAATCAGCCGGGTTGTCCTTGAAGGCTGGTGAAATACTCACAACGGAGAGTTGAACGGTACCGCAGTAGCATGTCGCGGATGCCTCCTCGACTGTCGACCAGCCGTCCTGTGCTAAACCGGCAAGGGGGAAAAAGAGTCTTCCCTGGTTTCCTCTAGATTAGACATGGCTATCGAACGAACGTGCTCGGAATTGAGGTGATAGCTGTGGAGAAATCGATCAATGGTAGGACTGAAGTCCAGTCGGTCCAAGCATGATTGCCGTAAGGATTTGCCGTCATTTATTGCAGCTACTTATAGGGTTCAGCAGGTATCGCAACAGATACTGTCCCGCGATTAGTTTTAGCGCGGAAAATTAGAAGGAATTCCGTTCCGGACGTGTTGCGGAGAGACGTGTTGCGGAGTTGTTACACGCTAAGCTGATCACAGCCCTCCGTTCATGCCGGAGTCAATTTCCGCAAAACAGTGTGTCTATAGACTACGGGAGAGGAAGAGTTGACAATTCATAATCAGTCCGAGAATCCGACACTAGGCCGGCAACTTCGGCTGTAGCGACTCGCCGAGGTGAGGCCTAGCGACGGCAGCGCCATGTCAGCAGCCGTGGAGTATCAGGATGGGCTGAGTGCGCACTATGCCTGACAAATCATCCCGCGACGGCTTGACTAATCAGGCGATTATCAGACAGAATAGTGTTTACAAGCTCTGGTGTGGGAAAATTACTAATCGACCCAATGGCCGGTAGCTCGTCTACTGGGATAAACAGCGATACCATCCCCTTGGATGGAATATGTTTTGTGTCGGGCTACTTCATTCCTACACTGGTTTGTCTGCGTTGTACAAATTCCAACTATGGCTCCTACCATCCTTGACGCCGGCGCCACTGGCAATACCGGACGAGGCGTTGATGACACCTTGTCAGAACTTCTCAAAACCACCACCAACTTTTCCGGACACAGAATCCTTGCTCTTACACGTTCCTCGCACGGAGCTGCAGCACAACAGCTCGCCGAATTGCCTAACGTCGAAGCAGTAGAAAAGAATTGGGCTGAGATCACCCCGGACTGGCTCCGTCACAACAATGTTGTGAGAGCTTTCATTGCTTCACACGTACACCCGAATCAGTTCGCCGAAGAATCAACATTTCACGTGTCTGCTCTCACGGCTGGCGTTCAGTATGTCGTACGAATCTCAACAACCGTTGCGAATGTGCGTCCGGATTGCCCTGCCTACTATCCAAGGACGCACTGGGCAATTGAGGCCTTGCTAAGCTCGCCGGAATTTGAGCGTCTGCGATGGACTTGGCTGCAGCCCAATGTCGGTGTCGACTTTGTGGCTTCCATGGCTGCCGTGAGGCATTTGAGGATAGCCTCCGCTCCTTGGTCGAGCTCTACCGCGGAAGAGCCTGGCTGAACCGTCCGCGGGGGGTCGAGTTTGACTAGCGAGACGAATCTCTCTATGTGAGCTTCAGGAACGACTGCTCGGGCGATGGTGTGGAGTCCCGAGAGGGGGTTGAGGGGGATGACTGTGAGAAGGGCCTCGTGGTCTGTGCCTGGGTGCAGTGACGGGCAGACCTCTGCCGTGGCTGAGGGGATGTTTGAGAAGGTGAGGTCGAGGACGTGTCCTCGGTCCTGTGTGGGGGTGCCAATATCGCCGATGTACTGGAGGTTGTTTGAGTCCGCCCAACGGGCGATCGCCTTCCCAGTGCCCGTGGGCTGGGATTTGGGTTCCCAGAGCGGATGGCGAGAGTTGAAGTCCCCGGCGATGACTGAGTTTGGCGGTGGCTGGTACTCGGGAAGAGTCGCTGTTGTCTGATCGTCGTCGGTATTATCTTGTGGTCTATAGACGTTGACGATGGTGAAGCCTTGGACAGACATCCAGAGGAGGTCCCTGGATGCTGAGGGCCTTGTCTGTTGGCATCTGAGGTTCTTCCTCACGTACGTGAGCACGCGGGGTCGGGATTCATTGCTGTCCCAGTGGTCCACCGGGCTGAAGGTGTCGTAGCCTGGGTGGGTGTTCAGGAGCAGTCGCTCACCGTGACTACTCCAGGGTTCCTGGGCTAGCACCACATCTATCTCCTCTTCGTGACAGAGCTGAAGCAGTGCGGTATTCGCCGGGGACCGTTTCCCCACGTTACACTGGGCAATGCGCAGTGTAGTGGGTCTCTTGCTGGAGCCCCGGGTCGGAACCCTAGAGCTCCGACTCGGCTTCAAAGGCCTGGGTATAGCCTGCCTCATTCCGATAGTAGTTAACTTGGTGCTTCGATGCCCTGTCACGGGGCCTGTTGCGGTTGGAGTGGTCGAGCGGGGGAAGGGTCTGGCTTTCCTCCAGGGGCTCCTGAAGGGGAGGTGCTACTCCCGAGGGGTCTGTGGTATCGTCGTCGATATCGTCGTCCAGGTTGACGTCGGCGGAGGGCTCGTCCGCCTCGCTGAGGGGGATGTTCTCAGTGGGGCCGACCGTGATGGTGCCCGCTACTGATTCCTCCGGGGTCTGCGGAGGTAGGGATGTCAGCTGGGGACGCGTCGGGGATCGCCTTACGGCTTCTCCTGCCGCCGTATGCGTCGTAGCTGCGTCAAGGTCGGGTATCTCCCTCTGCCCTCCTCTATCACCGGCTTGGCTGGGCAATCCTCGTGTGAGGCGGGGTAGGGGCCATGGCAGTTGGCGCACTTTGGTGTCTTCCCGCAGCTTGTGCCGTTGCTTGGACACCGCTCTTCGCCGCAGTTGACGCAGACCGGGGCCCGGTTGCAGTAGTAGCTACCGTGATAGCCTTGGCAACCAGTGGTATGCCTGGTGGGGATTCTTGGACGTGGGGGGAGGAATTTTGCTCATCCAGACACCCCAAACAGTCGGAAGCCGTCCGGGACAGCTTGGGGGAGGTGGATGATCCAGGATTGTGTTCCCTGGAGGAGGTTGGGGCTTTGACGGGTGGGTCGCGCTGCTGTCGGGACGAGGCCTGTTTGGATCTCGATTTCTTCTTGAATCTGGGATGCGGCTTCCACGGAGCTGCCGTCGCATCCAGAGCGCGATGGGGCAATGCGGGACGAGGTACTGGTACCAGGTGGTGGGTTCCTCGATCCTGCTTGCCTTGAGGCAGCGCTGCAGCTCTGGCCTCTTCTGTAGCAGGAGGGTGCATATCTCATCGTTCCTGGGCCGTAGGGAATAGCCTGTGACGGTGTGTCTGATGGATACATCTCCGGGGCGGATCTGTAGGCTCGTGGAAATGGCCTGGCGAAGAGCGTATGGGTTGTACCCTCGCGAGGGGGCGATCAGTTCCCCTGGGAGCCGGCCGAAGAGCCGACTGTCGGAGCTTTTCTTCTTCCGCTGTGCTTGGGGGGCTTGGGATTTGGCGGCGGCGGTTGTTTTGGCGTTGGCGGCCAGGGCGTAGGTTTTTCCGCCTCCGGTGCTAGCGGGTCCGTCTGACTCGTGCTTGATGAAGGCAGAGAATGTCGCCGTCAGCGCCCTGACTGCAGACTGCAGCTCGGGGCGAGTATGCGGGACGTCTATGCCGTCTAATGCGGCGGCTACGAGGTCGTAGGCCTCGTCAATGATGCGACGCTGCGCTCCGACGGCTCTGAGGGTGTCTCCGGCGCGCGTTATCCCATTTTCTGTGGTGCGAGAGGGAGAGAGAGGCGCTGAGCGGCTGGTTGGCGCTGGCCAGGACGTTGTATCCAACTTGCCCAGTAGCCTTACTACTAAACAGCCACTTTCTGCAAAATTAATATGGTAAGTTAGTCATGAAGGATATGTATTGAGTCGGGGTCTCCATTTGTGCTCTCCCTAATACCTGAGATAGAAATGTGATTCGTAGGCACGATATGGAAAGGGTGTACTTGAGACGGCCTAAGCACAAGTCACTAACGCTAGTTCAGCCAAGTACCATGTAAGATATGATGCAAAGCCTGTTATTGTCCGCTTTGAGGACGTATCTGGAGAGAATATTCGCCCCTCGTGGTTCTCCATTTATTCGAGATGTCGACAAGTTCATGGCATCCCTCGACAGCCCATGACCACTTTGTCAAAAAACCAGCAGTAGCTTCCCAATTCTCTTTCAAATGCGGCTCTCCCCATAGGATAAGTCCTTTCCCATCTTGTGCAGATTGGCTGTCATCTTGCCGCCGATATTGCTGTGAACTTGGTGTTGACACCGGGCCTCCCTGACTCTGTGCAGGCAGTGGATGTAAGTATACCTGATCGCCAACAAGATCCTCTAAAAAGTGCTTGTGATTGAACAGATACTGCCGCCTGATGAGATTGTCCCTGATTTCAGGGAACGGAAGCGCGTCCATCCAGGTAGGATGTGGGCTGTTCATTTGAACCTGTGTTGGTAAAAGGTCGATTGGCATTGTTCGGTGAGTAGGTCGAAGCACCACGGTTTCGCATGCCACTGCGAAATCGGGGCGTAGGGGCGGATCGTGAACGGCACTGATGTAACTTGCTACGGCTCTCATTACATTTCTGTTATGCATGAGCCCTCGGCATGCGTTGTGGGTGATGAGATGGATCAGAACGTGATCAGTGGGCAGAGAAGGCCCGGAATCATGGACTGATTCGGGCTCTAGAGAAAGCAGTGCTCTGTTTGGTATTCTGCGGACCTTGGTTGTCTGAGGCTGGAGTGGTTCGGTGGTTCCATGGCCAAGGGCCTGTCGGTCGTTGGCAGCGGTGTCCGAAGTGAGAACAAGGGGCCGAGAAATCTGCATTGAGAGGCCAGGACCATTATCCAATCGCCAGCGTTCAATCCGAAAAGGGTTCTTTTGAGTCTTGATATCCGTGTCCTTTCGGTCCTTGATCCGCTGCCCTGATCATTCCATCAGCTAGGAAGACACCCTAGAGTACAGGCATCTCGGAATCTTACTGTGCGCTCTCTGGTTCAGTCGGTTCTGCAATTTCTTGCGCTCTCTCCGCTCCTCCACAGTGGGCTTTTGGCTAGTGGGCTCCATCTTCGCAACGTCTTTGCAACGAGCCGATATGAGAGGAACATCAGTCCGAGTAACATCAGGACCGGGACTCGACATTTGGGAATTTCGATCATCGCCGCTTGACGTCATGTGAAGGGCTAAGCCTAAAAAGGCGAGAACTGTCAGCCAGCTTAGCTTAACCAAGACAAACCCCAGCGCTGTAACGGAAAGGGCAAAAACGGTCAGCCAGCTTACAAAGCTTGTAACAATAGTCAACTGCAGCGCTATAACGGAAAGGGCAAATACGGTCAGCCACGATGCTTCAAGAGTTTAAGTTCCGATGGAGACAGCACCTGTGTAGGAGCGGGCAGAGAACGCGCGGCGCTCGGGGACTAAGAGACACGGAGATAGGAGATAGGGTTATAACAGTACATAGACTGAATAGTGTTTATAGGCGGAGGATATATCTACAAACCAAGTATAAAAGACCAGGGGAATATCAACTTCTGAGGTCCATCTCGATACTGATCTAATTGTTCCTTGCCTACGTCACCTCTCAGTCCCAATTCTCAATCGAAAGAAGCACCAACGATGTCTCGCTACGCAGCAGCCCACGCCAATCCTCAGGGTCCCGGCGACGCCAGACCAACGGCGCTGCAGATCATCAAAGACGAAGGTGTGGAGGGCAAACTGCAGGACAAGGTGGTGGTCATCACTGGCACCTCGTCAGGGATTGGAATTGAGACAGCTCGTGCTCTCTCAGCTACTGGAGCTAAGCTTTTCTTGACGGCCCGAAATCTCGCCAAAGCCAAGGAAGCCCTAGCTGGTATTTTCGACCCCAGCCGCATGGAGCTTGTCGAGATGGACCAAGAGTCTCTGGAAAGTGTCCGTCTCGCAGCCAGCAGCATTCTAGCTAAGACGGACAAGATCAACATCCTGGTCAACAATGCCGGAATCATGGCCATCCCAACCCTTCAGTTCACCAAAGACGGTCACGAGCTGCAGTTCGGCACCAATCACTTATCCCACTTCTTGTTCTTCGAGCTGCTGAAGCCGGCACTGCTGGCAGCTACTACGCCACACTTTCACAGCCGTGTTGTCGTCGTGGCTTCTACCGCACACCTGAGGAATGGCATCAATGCCTCGGACGACTATAACTTCGAAAAGAGCGAATATACTCCTTGGGGAGCCTATGGACAGTCCAAAACTGCCAACATCTACATGGCCAACGAACTGGAGCGGCGACATGGCTCTCAGGGCCTTCACGGGATAAGCCTACACCCTGGTGGGATCATGACCCCTCTCACAAAGCATCTTTCACAAGCTGAGTTGGAGAGCGCCGGCAGCGACGGGGAGCTCTTTAAGCAGTTCAAGAGCCCTGAGCAAGGAGCTGCAACCACTGTCTGGGCGGCAATTGGGAAGCAGTGGGAGGGAAAGGGAGGGAAGTATCTTGCCGAGTGCGCTGTGGCGGATCCCTCAGAGGACGAGAGTAACCCTTTTGGCTCGGGGTACGCCAAGCACGCGTTCGATCCGGAGGCCGAGGGTCGACTATGGAGGGACTCGCTCAGGCTTGTCGGGTTGTCTTGAAATCATTGCGACTAGAGAATTGTGATCCGACACTCGGTTCTGGGTTTTACCAAGGGTGGCTAGCTTCCCTAATTAGGATTAGCGTGCTTGTCGCTGTTGCTCAGACTCGGCTCAGTCCAAGCTCAGCCACACTTCAGTCAATATTCCTAGTTGGGGTTTTGTGCTTAACGGCTGCTAGAAACGGTTGTTCCAGAATGGCGTTACCCGGTCACCATAAACTTGTGAAATTGCCCCTGCTGTCCGGCTAAAGCGGCGTTAACAACCGGGTCTGTTGGATAGAGCGATATTCTGCCGCTGGGACGGTGAAGGGGTGGAGTAAATTGGACCACCCCCGCCCCAGGATGGACGCAGAGAGGAAGAACAACATCAATCAAGACAATTGTCAAGGCATCAAGTGGGTGGGTAATTGAGCTTGTATTGGGAGAAAGTTACTGCGTAGCAGCTCACAGCTGGAGCTGCAAGGTAGCGCGGGTTGCGGGTCCCTGATCAACCGGAATCTAGCCGCGGTTTAACCGGAGACCTCAGGAGCTGGCCGCCCGTTGCGGGTGGGCGCAGGCGTCCCTTGACCTACTGTAGTGTCCCACTGCCAACTCCACACAGTGTATAGTCACGTGGATTAGTCTCCGTCGTCTGGACGTGTCACCTGGCCGGAATTACCGACGGTTTAATCCGTTGAGATGCTTGATCTTGATTCGTGTTTTACCTAGTTAGATTCCCTCCTGTAGGGCATCTCAGAATCTTTAGAAGCCATCATGGATGCTGTTATATAGATTCGATGGCGATCGGAGCTCCCTTTGTTAGGGGCTGGTCACTGGTGGTCGCCACAGGTGAGGCCATAAGGTATATTGTCCTAAGATAGGGAGCCAGGAGGAAAGGAGAGAAAGGGGGAGAGTGCGAAATGAGCCTTAGGGGGTGCCTTTCGCACGTCTACTTACGTGACCTCGCGCAGGGGTCGCGTCGTTGCCGCAGCTGTATCGCAGCTGGGACGCGTATAGGCATGGCGCTGCCTGATACTTCATCATGGGTGCAACCCGTAACACGCCTGGAGCGTTGTCGCTGGCGGTTGCCGTGGATGTTGCACTTGGAACAATATGGCATTTCCGATGCTGCCAGAGGCCTTAAGGCTGGCTTGCTGAGTAGTCCATTGTTATATTTGTGCGAGAGAAATACTTTGCTTGCCCCGTCTGGTGTGACCTGTCTTTCGAGTCTCGAGCCGATTCCCGTTCTTCCTGGCGGCGAACGCAGGTGAAGCCGGTCTCTTTGGCGCACCGTTCGCAATAGTAGAGGTTTGTGGAGATGCGAACCATTCCTTTGGAGCTAAGATCGTCTGTTGATGTCATTTCCATGGCAGACGCACATCGCATGCACCGGATCGTCTTGGCCGGGATGGCGACGGGAGCGGATTCCAGGCTGGGGCGGGGATCGGTGAATGATGAGTGCATGATGGTAGCAGTTGACACCGTCGCCGAAGTTTGAGTTCGAGGTAGCTGAAATGGTCCGGCTTGTTGGCCGTGGTCATGTTGTGATGTGGTCGTGGTCCTGGTACGGGTTGTGGTCGAAGAAGGGATTCCCTGTCATCCAAATGGCGTTGGTGTCGCTGTGGGCGTTGTTTGTACTAAAGGAGGAGGGTCTGACAGTGTCATGGGTGATCGATGAGAGCTAGCCTCTCGAAAAAAAGTCTTTGAGTGGGATGGACTGTTTTCATCTCTGTGGCTTCCCACCATCCGAATCTGAAGGCGATGACACACGAATTTGGCTAATTGAGATTAGATGGTCCAGACTTTTCACGCAGCGCCTTGTCCCGTCACTCGAGTCTCTTTATAACGTGACTGATTAAAAGACAGGAAAGTGGTATCACTGCACGGGCATCTGGACCGAGAAAATCGCCGAATCGTCGTATTTCCAGCGGAATGAGAGATTGCCGGTCGCCCGAGAGGCACCATTTTATACAATGTGTTCCCCAGTCTTTGATAGCATCATGCGCTCACTCATCCCGCGCATTTACCTCCTCACTTCCAATCATCCGCAGCCTTCCCATTGCCCTACTCGTTGCCGCCGCAGCCGCACTCACCACACGACCCGGCGGCTGGGAACGCAATTAAGCGACAAAGCGACACGTGCAACTGAGGATCTTTTACGTATTACTGCGACCTGAATGAAGACAGCCGCTCGAGAGAACTGCTGAGCTTGAGTGACTTATACGAGGAGACTTACCAATCACCCACCAGCATGCTTGCGCCGACATAGCCCGCTTGGCCTATGGACAAGAGAAGCCAGCTCCTCAGGGGCCTGTAGGGAAAGACCTACGGCTCATGAGTAAGACAGCAGGATTTCCACAGAGTCCTGAGGAACACAGAGCCACCGACCCTTCCATGATCCGTCAATAAGTTACCGAGAATTGTTCGTTCAATGACTGGGACATTTACGAAAGTAACAAGTATCCCGACCGGCTACGCACCCACCCCAATGGGTCCCGCGCCGGCAACGAGACATTTCTGATTGACGCAACCTGACTTTATTTTCGCCGAGACATTGTCGAACACTAGCCACGATTCCCCTTAACACAATTGTTGGTTTACCTCAATGTAAGCTTATTGTTTTTCTCAATGACCTTCATTTCCTTCGACCGGCGAAGCCATGGAATACCATCGAACGGATCTTATGATCTTATCTACCCGCAAAGCCTCGAGAGTTACTCAAGGAGCTCTCACAGCAGCCACTTTCAAGGGAGAGTAGTCAGCATGTTCCGACCCACATTCCGGTGAGATACATAGCCACGTCGCGGTATTTTGTCTGATCCAATATGATCCAATAGACAGGTGATAGGACTAGTCGTATATAACTATGAACCCGTTCTTGGACTGTTCAAAGCTGCCGTCCAGTTCGAGGGCCTCGCGGATCGAGGTCGCTACAGTTGGCGAGACGTACCCGTACACGGGGTCATTGGCCACACCAAGCCAGACAAGCGTCCGCGTTGCCTGCGCGTAGATGTTTGGCATGAGCAACACCTGGCAGTTCTTCTCTATCACGCTGCCCTGGTTGATGCAGATGGCGTCGGCCCACAGAACGCGCGGCCGGTCGGATAGCCAGAAGTGAACGAGCGCCGTGACGAGGCTGTTGGTAATGAAGAGCGTGGCACCGTCGCAAGTAACTTGGCAGCGGTCCTGTGCATCGCCCCAGCAGTACGAGATAGCCTCGAAATCCGGGACAGCATCGAGCGTCGTCACAACGATGGACAGGTTGATAGGATCAGATTCGTCGCCTAGGTAGACGTGCATCAGGCGGATTGTCCGCGGCGCCGTGATGGCTGCGTACTCGTAAATTGAGGACATTTCGACGACGGTATTGGCTGTGGCTCTAAGTGGAGAGACCACTTGGTTGTCAAAAGTCTGCAGGTTAGGTTGCCACGGTGAGGCGGCAGTGCTGCGCTGGACAGCTTTTGACGCGGTACTTGTTGCGGGAAGTACGGCTTGGCGAGTGACACATGCGTAGAAGTGTTGCAGGTCAAGAAGCGACGTCGGAAGGTGTCGGGCGAGCTGGGAGGGAAACTTGTGATGGAAACGATAAATGGCTGACTTCCGTGTTTGTTGGTGCCGAACGGCATGCTCCAACGGATGAATATGCGAATCCGTCAAATCGCCATGCACCTAAACCACTAGTCTGGGCTTAGGTAACTTGTCACCACGGAATTGAACAAAGTGGATTGATTGTTGTTAAGGTACAAAAGGAGACTTCCAGAAGTCCAAACGAAGGTAATTGGTCAGATCCAGCATCGGTAAGGAGTCTTACCGGGGCGATAACGACAGAACAAATGCATCAAATGAGGACTCCACATTTGGGATGAAAGTACTCCTGGGTCACAGAACAGAACCTTGCCTGATCGGCAACACACCCCCTCAGATGGGTAGGCGAGCCTCTCTCTGACCATCTGAACCACGAAAGATCAGGCAGATGCCTGTTGGCGGCTTTTGGTAGAGAATTTGGTGCCTTTGGAACAGTTGGCGTTCTCAGGGCAGATGAAGGAAATCGTGCTTGTGAAGCAAATAAGGATGTGTGTAAGTGTTAGGAGAGGTGGGCGAAATTGAGCAAGCTGTTCACTGGTGGACCGCTGGTACGCACTCCATCTGCAGAAGCTTCACGAAGTTCTGATGCTTCTGAGTCGGGAGAATCTTTGTAAGCCCATCGCTCACTATCTTGTCAGTGCTCATCCAGTCCACGGATATCTTCCCCTGTCTGACTGTTTGTCGGATCCAAAGACGATGGATGTCAACATGCTTGAGCTTCGTAGTGGCTTGAGGCCTCTCACTAGTGAGTAACAGCAGCGTTTGGCGGTTATCACAGAACATCTGGATCGGAACCTTGCCATGAAAACGTAGCTGAAGCTCCTTGATCAGACGAAGAGTGGCAAGGTAGTTCCTCGCTGCGACACTGAGGGCCACCAGCTCAGCTTCGGTGCTAGAAGTGACCACGGATCGCTGCTTTGTAGCTTTCCAGTCAATTGGACCTCCAAAGAGCATGGTGGTGTATCCTTGTGAACTAAATCTGGTGATGGGATCATCGCCGAATGATGCGTCGCTCGCACAATACAGCGATGTAGAATGGTCTCCTGATCCTCCGTAGGACAGCGAGAGAGTCCTTGTGCGATAGAGGTAGCGGAGACAGTGGTCTGCTGCAAGGTGATGGAGTTCTGTCGGCCTGAGCAGAGACTCCGCAAGTAGAATGGTCTCCTGATCCTCCGTAGGACAGCGAGAGAGTCCTTGTGCGATAGAGGTAGCGGAGACAGTGGTCTGCTGCAAGGTGATGGAGTTCTGTCGGCCTGAGCAGAGACTCCGCAAGTCTTGAGGCAGCTTTGGCCACATCAGGTCGTGTTGTGGTTGCTGCGTAATTGATGGAACCAATTTTGCGTTGGTATAGTTGAATGGATTCAGCAGAGGCTTCGTAATCCTTTGGAGCAGGTGCTGGGTCTGTTGATAGAGGCGTCAAATGACCTCTGGTGGATGGCTGGAGGTTGAGGTCCTTCATCTTTTCAGTGATGTAGTTCTCCAGAGACAGCCAGAGCTTGCGCTGGCTACGATCTCTGACCACTCTGATGCCTAAGAACCATCTGACCTCGCCAAGTTCTCGCATCTCGAACAGAGACTTGAGCTGGCTCTTCAGCTCTTCGGCCGCTTGGCGATCCTCTTTGCGGTTCATGAGGATGATGTCGTCAACGTAGAAGAACATGATCATGCCTCTGCCCATGAAGACACAGTTATCTTCCTCGAGAGCCACGAGGCCGATCTTCCGCATAGCCTCGGACAGCAGCTTGTGCCAGAGAAGCGGTGATCGGCGCAAACCGTACAAAGCTCTCTTCAGCTTGAAAATCGTGCGCCTCTGTGGAGCGCCCTTCTTCTGTTGCATCTCCTGCATGAGATCCCAGCCCTGAGGGGCCCAGACGTAGACTGTCTCGTCGAGGTGTGCATTTGGAAAGGCGTTGACGGCATCCAACTGGTGCGTGTCTAGGTCAAACTCTGCACAGATGGCCATCAACGTTCTGAACGTCTTGGCTGCCAGTGTCGACGCGTATGTTTCCATCTCATTCTTGGGCTGTTGGTCTCCTCGTACGCAGAGCCTGGCCTTGAACTTGGTCACGTAGCCGGTGGAGTCAACCTTGTATTTCCAGACCCAGGTCAACCCGAGAACCTTGTGTATTTCCTGGTCGACCGATTCGAAGGGGACTTGCTCGATTGTGTCCATATTTTCAATGGTGTTGACCTCCTGGACGCTTGCTTCTAGCCACTGCTTTTTGTGATCAGAATGAAGCATCTCCTTCCAGGATCTTGGCTCCGCGGGCATATCTGTTCGGAGAAGCGGTTTCTTGTTCGATGGAGTCTGAGTGTGAAAGAATGAGTATTCCACGGTCAAATGTGATGATGGAGGCATTTTCTTGCTGCGGCGGGCTCCTAGAGCCTGGTCGGTGGGGGTGCCGTCTTTGAACTGTGACGGCTTTCTGTCTCTAGCGCTCCTTCGAGTGCCTTGGATTTGTGTTGATGGCGACGGCTGTGGGGCTGGTGCCACTGATGGTCGGGCCTCCACAGTCTCTGTCTCGTCTTCAGCTGAACTTTGATCAGCTGGTGTGTGTTGAGGTGTTGATTCAGGGCTCCGAGCTACTTCGATAGTGTCTTCAATAGCCTCTTCAGTCACTTGAATGGTGTCTGGCACGGGGATCGTGTCTTCCACAGCATCTTCAGCCCCTTGAATGGTGTCTATTACGGCATCTTCCACCCCCTCAGAGACAGCTGGCTGGCCTTGTCCAGTCTCCGTCTCTGGAGTTGGACGTGGTGACGGCAGGACATCATCTCTGCTGGCTGTGTGACCTTCCCGGGGTCGCAGTATCTCCGCGTTGATCTTTCCTCCAAGTTGGAATGTCCGGGCTTTCTCGAACAGGTCGATGGTGGCAACATCGAACTCGTCAATGTCCAGTGACGAGTTGAAAGGATTCTGGGCGTCCGCAACGGGCACGTCCAAAGCCTGGAATTCGTCCTGTAGAATTGGCTTTGGGGATTGGGCGTCCTTGAAAACTGTGGACTCATCGAAACCCACGTCTCTTGTCCTCAATACTGCTTTCATCTCTGGAACCCAGATTCTGTATATGTTGCTGCTGTCGTATCCACAGAGATAGCCGATGTGGGCTCTCGGAGCCAGCTTCTGCTTTCGGTTACGTCCCTCTTGGGCGTCTGCCGTGAGAGGATACGCCCTGCATCCGTATCTTCGCAGGTGAGCCAGGCCTGGAGCCGTAGTTCGAGCGGCAAGGCCCTTGGAGTTGAGCCAGTCGTTCAGCCTTCCTTCTGGTGTCGCCCACTGTAGGCGTCCCTTCGGCGTGAGATTGTGGAGATATGCAGCGGTTTGTACCACCTCTGGCCACAAATCCTCCGGGAACCCAGCAGCCGAGGTAAGGGTTCTTGCGATGGTGAATATCGTGCCTCCATTGCGTTCTGCGGCACCGTTCTGTTCTGGTGTCCTTGCGGCTGATCTCTCCAAGAGAATGCCGCGCTCTTCTGACCAAGTAACCAGATTGCTGCGTAGTGCTGAGTCCCAGTCAACTCTCAGGACCTTGATGACCAGATGGTACTGTCTCCAGAGAAACATCTCAAAGTTGATAAACGCCTGGAAGCCATCTGCTCTGGCAGGCAGAATCCTGACAACAATCTTCCCCGAATATGCGTCCGTTATTACAAGGCACGACTCCATGCCGTTGTACGACTTCCCAGGGCTGAAGAAGTCCAGGTTGACGCGCTCAAATGGATTCGTCGTCGTGTACGTTGGCTGTCTCCGAGATACAATCTTCTTGGATTTCGCTACCCCGCAAGACTCGCATTCGAATGTTGTTGGCCCTTTCACCCCAACTCCAGTACAGCTGTATGGCAGCTGCTGTATGGCCTCTGGGTGGGCATGAGCCAGCCGTTCGTGCCAGAGCCTCGAGTCGCTGACCATCGCGGCTCTCTGCTTCTTGGAGTGATAGAAGGAAGTGGTGCTATGTAGGGTGTTCACCGCATACTGGCCACCCTTCTCCTGAAGTGGGATCTCTGAGCCAGTGGCTGGGTTGAACAGCATGTTCCTGAGCGAGTCCAGTCCGAGTCCTTGGCGTTGGAGCTGCCTGGCTGAAATAAGCGTCGTCGGGTAGTCTTTGATGTACGAGACATCATGGCAGGTGATGCTGATGACGTTCTGCTTGCTGTCGAGGGTGTCGATGGCCATCGTGCCATGCCCTTCGACGGGGCTTGATTTGCCTCCTCCTGTGCTGTATCTTACAGTGTCGGTGGCCTCGCGAAAGTTGGTGAGGAGGTCTTTGTTGTTGGTTATATGGTTGGGTGTACCCGAGTCGATCAGGAACTCGTGACGGAGATCCCCTCCTCGGTTTGTCCGTTGAAACTCGTCCGAATCAGCGACGGAGAAGTTGCTCATGAAGTTGGTGTACTCGTCATCGCAGCTCTGTTCATCATCGTCACCGAGGAAGTTGTTAAAAGCAGAGACGGCGACTCCACTGGTGCCTCTTGCCTCCTGCCGCTTCTTTTTGTCCTCCTTGATTTTCTCGTTCCAGAATTGCAATGTGCTTGGCTTCATCCTTTTCTTCGCTTCGTCAATGTAGTCCAGCAGGCTCTGATCGGATTGATAGCTCTTCTTCCTCCGGTGTTCTGCGATATTTGGGCACAGACAGATGGGCTGACACGCCTTGGGTGCCCTCTTCTGCTGTACACAGTCGCAGAATGGTCTGCGAGAAGGCGAGCTGTTTGGCTGTTGAGGAGAGTCACGATGGGAATCCTGGGCACTCGTCCGATCACTTTGACCATTC